AAATTATCTTATTGCCAGGTGTAGGGACGTAGAATTGAGAGCCAAGGAATTGCTAGTATCTTCTTGTTATCTTGGAAGCTCTTTAGTAAAAGAGGCTTCTCAGGCGTTGAAAGAAGAAATACTGCATGTCCTCACTCATAAGTGGAAGCTATAAGAAAGAAAAAGAAAGAAAAAAAGATAAAACTATCACAATAATTCATTGAACTTGCAAAAGGAGAGAACGGAACTGAGACCACCAGAGGTAGGAAAGGGCGGGGAGGAGGAGGATTAGCAAGAATTGGTAAAGGGCCACAAAGTACGATTACATTATATAATGTTGAATATCCTAATTATCCTGATCTGAGCATCATATATTGTACACAGGTATTGATATTCAATGCTGTATCCCAAAGACATGTATGATCAATTGTCTCAATAAAATAAGTAAGTAAATGAAAGAGGCTTCTTCTACCTTTGTAGTACCCTTTATTTTGTCCAGATTTTGTTTGTCTGGGCCTCAATGTCACCGGTCAGCTCCCAAGCCTATGTGTGCGTTGGTGCCCTGTTAATCAACCAACATGGATAGTAGAGGGCGTATTGCCAATATCCACCCCCCACCATTGGGGGATATAATATTGGAAAATGGCTAATTTTTACTTCTGAGGATGCAGGTGGCAGGAGTTGGGAAGCTGGGGAGGCATGGTAAGGAGAGAGCATATAGAACACGTCCCTCCCATACTGCCATTGCCAAAGACGGATGCTGGTGTAGTGGCTGAAGGGCATCAAGGACAGAAAATAGGCAGTTTAAGAACAGTCTATCTTGGGAAGAAGCAATCCTGTCAAAATTTTTCCAAGTGGCATTAATGTTCAAAAAGCTAAAAAATTCTCGATCTGTTTTGTTACTGTACTACTAATCTGGGATCATTTATTAAGATCCTCAAGCCCCAGAGTTTCTGATCAGCTCAGTCCCCACCTGGTATTAACTGCTCTTACAGGAGGAAATTATGGAAAGTACAATAGGCCACTTCTAAGTCACTGCCTCTTTCTTTACCTTGTACAATGCAGGGTCTCCATCAAGTTAACGTCCTTAATGAAGTCATTTGCTCTGCATACGCTGTGTGGTTAGGTCTTAGAGTAATACATTTTCTGCTTTCTGAGCTGTGCTTGAGAGGACATCCTCCTCAACTATGGAAATATGGAAAGATGGAACTTTTATGGAAAAAGCTGAATGTTGGAAGATGATGCACGGTGTTCTCTGGTCTGCCAGCCTTGCTTCCCTTAGTCATTCACAGTTATATTAGGGCAATTAGATTATAACTCAAACTTCTGAAAACCCATTTAGAGAGATAAGGAATTCATTTCACTGTACTATTGTGCCCTAAATTCAAGAGGGCACAATGAGATTCAAGATTAATTGTTTAATAGGTTAGAATTTTAAATCGAAAATATTTTCAGTGTTATTTTATATCTATATGATTCACCATGAAGGTTGGTTTAAAAAGTTTCAAAAATATTGATGTCATTTTATTATTTTTAGTTAAATTAAAGTTATTACTTTTTAAAAAATTGACCCTGGCCTCTTCTTTGTATCTCTCAAGCTACCACTTTCTTTGCAATTTCTAGAACTAGGTGGAGGGTTTTATACAGCCCAAACACATATAAGTTTGGGGAGAGCAGGGCTAACGTAAAGCATAGTTTGTACTATCTTCCCAGGAAATGGGAAACCAAGTGTCCAGTTCTGTATTTTTATTATAAAATTGCACATCTGTCAGTTAGATATATTTGATGAAAATAATCTCTCTCCTGAAGGAATGGCTGTGTATGTGGTGTTTGTGTGTGCATGCAGGCAATTTATTATAAAATTGCACATCTGTCAGTTAGATATATTTGATGAAAATAATCTCTCTCCTGAGGGAATGGCTGTGTATGTGGTGTTTGTGTGTGCATGCAGGCATGCTGTGACTCTCAGTATTTGTGGACATGTGTAGGGGCTTGTTTGGGCAGTAGTGCCATTTGATCAGCTAATGGCAACAAGCAGCAGTGCTCTGGTCATCTCTTTCTCTCGAGTGTTCCTCTCTCATTGCCTCTTCTTTTCCTGAGAGCCAACAAGTCTTTCCATAGCTCTGAGACAATGAAAATTACATGTACCTGTCTTGCTTGTGGTGTTTCAGGGGGCTCTTTCCCCTGTAGGTTGCTGCTGTAGTACATGAAGAATATTGGTTTTTGACTCTGAGTCTTCATGTGTAGGTTACTGAATGTCACATTCTCAGCTCCATGACTACCATGTCTCAGCAGGCACTCTAAGTGGAAGATCTAGAGGTTTTAACTTGCCTCCTGATTCTCTTGATGAAATAATCCTGGCACACTTGAATCATTCATTCCATACATCTTTGAGTGCCTGATGACAGTGCATGGGATGCNGGGAATGGCTGTGTATGTGGTGTTTGTGTGTGCATGCAGGCATGCTGTGACTCTCAGTATTTGTGGACATGTGTAGGGGCTTGTTTGGGCAGTAGTGCCATTTGATCAGCTAATGGCAACAAGCAGCAGTGCTCTGGTCATCTCTTTCTCTCGAGTGTTCCTCTCTCATTGCCTCTTCTTTTCCTGAGAGCCAACAAGTCTTTCCATAGCTCTGAGACAATGAAAATTACATGTACCTGTCTTGCTTGTGGTGTTTCAGGGGGCTCTTTCCCCTGTAGGTTGCTGCTGTAGTACATGAAGAATATTGGTTTTTGACTCTGAGTCTTCATGTGTAGGTTACTGAATGTCACATTCTCAGCTCCATGACTACCATGTCTCAGCAGGCACTCTAAGTGGAAGATCTAGAGGTTTTAACTTGCCTCCTGATTCTCTTGATGAAATAATCCTGGCACACTTGAATCATTCATTCCATACATCTTTGAGTGCCTGATGACAGTGCATGGGATGCCTTGGGTAGCAAGGAGAACAGCTGGATGATTCCTTTTCATTTATTCTTCTATCATTCAACATATATTCAGCTGGGGCTGACCTGTGCCCAATGCTGGGCTTTTCCAAATAGTTCAGGCAAGAACCAGTGAGGGCTAGAAGTGTAGCTGAGGTCGTAGGAATGGAAAGGCTAGGATGGATATGAATAGCATTAAAAAAGGGGACAGGACCTAACAGCTGAGATGGGAGTAGGACCCTAAAAAGGCAGCAGGCAGCTGGAGATTGAGAGCAGGTGCTTAGAGAAGAACTCATTGTGTAGGACCCGTCTTTGTGGTAAAATGTGGAGGTTGTCAAGAGAATCCCCAGAAATTTCTTAAACTTGGGCTGGGAGGTTGTTTAGCCAGTGAATTCCACAGGGGCAGTCCCTGGCCCTACACCCAACTGGGAATTAACACAGGCTCCTAGGAATATTGCCACTTCTTTAGAAATGTATATTTGAAAAATAAATTTTATACATGATCCCAGTCTTCGATGCTAGTTTAAGAAGAGAGGAACCAATTTAATGCCCGAAATCAT